AATAAACCAACATATAACAGTAATAACCATTAATGTAAATGGTCTCAATGCACCAATTAAGAGAAACAGACGGGGAGAATGGATCAAGAAACAAAATCCAACCATATGTTGTCTACAAGAAACCCATCTAACACAGAAGGATATTCTCAGACTGAAAGTCAAAGGATGGAAAACAATACTTCATGCAACAAGAAACCAAGAAAGAGCAGGAATAGCCATTCTGTTTGAAGACACAGTGAACTTTAAACCAATAATGATCAAAAAGGACAAAGAAGGTCACTACATACTCATTAGGGGAAAACTTCAAGAGGAAGAGATAACTATCTTAGATATGTATGCACAAAATTCCAAAGCACCCAGTTTTATAAAACAAGTATTAACAGAAATGAAAAATCAAATTATCAGTAACACAAATGTAATAGGAGGCCTTAACACACCATTGACACCAAAGGACAGATCAACCAGACAGAAAATCAGCAAAGAAATAACAGAACTGAATCACACATGTGAACAAATGGACTTGATAGAAATGTACAGTGTTCCATCCAACAACATCAGAATACACATTCTTCTCAGCAGTACATGGGTCGTTCTCTAAAATAGACCATATATTAGCTCACAGAACACATTTAAATAAATGCAAACAGCTGAAATTATACCTTGCATGTTATCGGATCATACCGCTTTGAAATTAGAAATTAATGATAAAAGATAATGCAAAAATCCCACAAATATATGGAAACTGAATAACACACTCTTGAATAATCAGTGGGTCACAGGAGAAACTAAAGAAGAAATTAAAAAATATCTACAAGAAAATGAAAATACAAATACAACATACTGGAATCTGTGGGATGCCATGAAAGCCATTCTCAGAGGAAAATTTATTGCACTCAGTTCCCACAGCAGGAAAACAGAATGAATACAAATTAATAACCTGATACTACACCTCAAACAGCTAGAAAAAGAAGAGCAAGTCAAGCCCAAAGCCAAAAGAAGAGAGGAATTTATAAAAATCAGAGCAGAAATCAATGCAATAAAGACTAAAAAAAAAATCCAAAGAATGAATAAATCAAAGAGTTGGTTCTTTGAAAGAATAAATAAAATTGATAAGCCCCTCGACAACCTTATTTTAAAAAGGGAAAAAAAACCTCAATTTAATGCAATAAGAAATGAAAAAGGTGAAATCCCTACAGACTCTATAAAAATACAGAAGATTATCAACACCAATTTGGAAAACCTGTTCTCTCAAAGGTTTGATAAAACACAAAAAGTAGACAGAGTCCTAGCAACATATGAAGTACAAAAGCTAAGTCAAGACGATGTAAAACTGCTGAAAACCCAATGTCTATTAATGAAATTGAAAATGTAATTAAGTCCCTACCTACAAAGAGGAGCCCAGGCCCAGATGGATTCACTGCAGAATGTTACAAGAAATACAAAGAAGACCTAAAGCCAACACTCCGCAAACTCTTCAATGAAATTGAAGGAGAAGCAATCCTTCCTAAGTCATTCCTGGAAGCAAATATTACTCTAGTAGCAAAACCTGAGAAAGACCCAGCTAAAAAAGGGAACTATAGACCAATCTCCATAATGAACACAGATGCAAAAATCCTCAATAAAATATAGGCAAATAGGATGCAGCAAATCATCGAGAAGATTATATATCATCACCAAGTGGGATTCATCCCAGGCATGCTGGGATGGTTCAACATACATAAATCAAAAACTGTAATGCACCATATCAACAAAGCCAAAAGTAAGAATCACATGATCATTTCTATAGATGCAGAAAAAGCTTTCGATAAGGTCCAACATTCATTCACAATAAGAATCTTCCAGAAAATTGGATTAGATGGTCTTGACCTCAATATAATAAATGCGATCTATGACAAACCAACAGCCAGTATCATATTAAATGGCCAAAAATTGAAGGCCATTAGTTTAAAATCAGGCACAAGACAAGGATGTCCTTTATCACCAGTCCTATTTAACATAGTACTGGAAATACAAGGCAGAACAATTAGACAAGAGAGAGAAATAAAAGGGGTAAAGATAGGGAAAGAGGAAGTTAAATTATCATTGTTTGTAGATGACATGATACTCTACATAGAAGACCCCCTAAACTCCATTGAAAGACTCTTAAATATAATAAATAAATTCAGTAATGTAGCTGGATACAAATCAATTCTGAAAAATCAATAGCATTTCTATACACCAACAACAAATTCACTGACAGAGTAATAAGAGAAGCCACATCCTTCACACTAACAACCAAAAAATGAAATATTTAGGAATTAATCTTACAAAAGAAGTGAAAGAACTATACAGGGAAAATTATAATACACTGAAAAAAGAAACTGAAAATGTTCTCAGAAAATGGAAATACATCCCTTGTTCATGGATAAGAAGAATAAATATTGTGAAAATGAACATTCTCCCAAAACTCTAATTCAGATTCAATACAACCTCAATAAAAATACCATCAACCTACCTCATAGATCTAGAGAAATCACTCCTAAAATTCATCTGGAGCGAGAAGAGACCTAGAATAGCAAAGAAAGTTCTCAGCAACAAAGACAAGGCAGGAGGCATCACAATCCCTGACTTGAAGTTATACTACAAAGCAACCATAGTAAAATCAATGCTATGGATTGAGAACTGGTGGTCAACTTAATGCCAGCTGGATTATATCAGCATGGCACTGAATGAAGTTGCTCCACCTGAGGAAAGTTTTCAGGATAAATAGGTGTAGAAGAAGGGAGATGAGGATTGAGGTGTTAGGGAGCCATTGTGGGTTCTCCTACGATTTGCTGTCTGAGCTGTTGGTTCCCTTGGAGAGGTTTGGTCCAATCGAGCATTGCTTCCTGGCTTTGGAGGGGGAGACATATGCTGCTTGGTCTCCAGGATGAATTTGTCACGCTGCTTCCTGGCACATACCTGACAGTGCTTGTCGTCGGAGGAGCTCAGGGCCTCCGTGTCACTGAGGACACCTGTGGTGCCTTTCAGGATAGCCCTGGTCTTTGTTGTGAGTGTGACTTATGAGTATGGTCTCAAGTTGCGTCCATTTATTTATAAATATCTCAATGTGATCATTCTTTATAGCCCAGGAGTACTCCATTGCATAAAAAATACCACAACCTTTTTTATCCATTCTTCAGTTAATGGACAATTAGGTTGTTTCTAGATCTGGTTATTACAAATTGTGCTGCTATCAACATGGGTACACATATATCACTGTTGTATGATATTTTCAGTTCCTCTGGGAATATGCCTAGAAGTGGAATAGCTGGGTCGAATGGGAATTCCAATTCCAGATTCTTGAAGAATCTCCAGACTGATCTCCATAATGATTGCACCAGTCTAAACCAGTTCCTTTTCCCCCACAGTCACTCCAGCATTTGTTGTTGGTAGTTTTCTTGATCCTGGCCATTCTTTCTGGAATGAGATGGAATGTCAGTGTGGTTTTAATTGGCATTTCTCTAATGATCAATGATAATGAACATTTTTTCATGTATTTATTTGCCATTTGTATTTCTTCATCTGAGAACTGAGTATTCATCTCAGATGCCATTTTTGGATTGGGTCTTTGAATTTTTGGAGTCTGATTTTTTTTTTAAATTTCTTAACATGTTTTAGAGAGAAATCCTTTATCTGAGGGACAGTTCACTAAGATTTTTTCCCAGTTTGTGGGTTTTCTTTTCACTCTGCTGAATATTTCTTTTAATATGCAGAAACATGTTAATAATATGTGATCCCAGTTATTGATTCTGCGAAGTATTTCCCATGCACTTTGATTCCTGTTCTTGAATTTTCTATCTACCCCAATGTCGTCAAGATTTTTACCTAATTTGTCTTCCAACAGATTTAGTGTTTCTGTCAGATCTTTGATCTATTTAGAATTTAGTTTAGTACATGGTGATAGCCATGGGAATAGTTTTAGTTTTCAGCATATGGAAAGCCAGTTTTTCCAGCACCATTTATTAAAAAGACTATTGATCTTCCAGTGAACATGTTAGGCCACTTTATTAAAGATAAAGTAGTTGAGTGTGTCGGTAGTTGTGATTGTATAATCTAATCTATTCTATTGATCGTCAGATCTGTTTTTATTCCAAAACCATGTTGAGTTTATTACAGTAGTTTTGTCATATAACTTCAAGTTAGGGATTGTGATGCCTCCTGCCTTGCCTTTGTTGCTTAGAACTGCTTTTGCCATTCCAGTTCTCTTCTGGTTCAAGATAAATTTTAGGAGTGATTTTTCTAGATCTATGTGGTTTGTTGATGGTATTTTTATTGGGATTGCACTGAATCTTTACAACAGTTTTGGGAGAATGGCCATTTTCACTATATTTATTCTTCCTATCCTTGAGCAAGGGTTGTCTTTCCATTTTCTGAGACCAACTTTGATTTCTTTTTCAGGGTATTATAATTTACCCTATATAGGTATTTTACTTCATTTCTGAGATTAATTCCTAAGAATTTCTCTCTTTTTTTTTTGGATGCTAGTGTGAATGGTGTGGCTTCTCATTTTTCTCTCAATGATTTATTTGTTAGTGTATAGGAATGCTATTGATTTTTGGTACAGACTTTGTATCCAGCTACATTGCTGAATTTATTATATCTAGGAGACTTTCAATGGAGTTTTGGGGGTCTTCTATGTAGAGTATCATGTTATCTGCAAATAATGATTATTTAACTTCCTCTTTCCCTATCTTTACCCAATTTATTTCTCTCTTTTCTAATTGCTATGCCTAGTATTTCCAGTACTATGTTGAATAGAAGCAGTGATAAGGGACATCCTTGTCTTGTGCCTTATTTTAAGGTAAAGGCATTCAATTTTTGGCCATTTAATATGATACTGGCTGTTGGTTTCTCATCGATGGCCTTTATCATATTGAGGTAAAGACCATCTTTTCCAGTTTTCTGTAAGGTTCTTATCATGAATGAATTTTACAAAAGCTTTTTTCTCCATCTATAGAAATGATCAGGTGACTCTTATGTTTGGCTTAATTGATATGGTAGATTACATTTATTAATTTATACATGTTGAACCAACCCTGCATTCCTGTGATGAATCCCTTGTGGTCATGATGTATAATCTTCATGATGATTTGCTGCATCCTGTTTGCCAATATTTTATTAAGGATTTTGGCATCTTTGCTCATTAGGGAAGTTGGGTTTTCATTCTCTTTCTTAGCTTGGCCTTTCTCAGGTTTTGGTCCTAGAGTAATATTTGCTTCCAGGAATGACTTAGGAAGAATTGCTTCCCTTTCAATTTCATTGAAGATTTTGAGAAGTGTCAGCATTCAGTCTTCTTTGTATTTCTTGTAGAATTCTGCAGTGAATCCGACTGGACTTGGGCTCTTCTTTGTAGATAAGAACTTAATATACATTTTCAATTTCATAAATAGAAATTGGGTTATTCAGAAGTTTTACATCTTCACCCAGCTTGGGTAATTCATATGTTCTAAGACATCTGTCCATTTCTTCTTTGTTGATGAACCTATGAGAGTCGAGGTTTTGAAATAGGTGTTGATCTTCTGTATTTCCACAGAGTCTGTGGTGATTTCACCTTTCTTATTCCTTAGTGCCTGAGTTTGAGCTTTTCCTTTCATTTTTATTATAAGGTTGGGTATGATCTTACCAATTTTATTTGTTGTTTCAAAGAACCACCTCTGTGATTCATTGATTTTTGGATTGTTTTCTTAGTCTAAATGACATTAATTTCTGCTCTAATTTTTAAAATTTCCTCCCTTCTTTTGGCTTTGGGCTCCACTTGCTCTTGTCTTTCTAGATGTTTGAGGTGTAGCATCAGGTTGTTTATTTATATTCCTTGTTTTCCTGATGTGGGAACTCAGTGCAATAAATATTCCTCTGAGGACAGCCTTCATTGCATCTCCCAGATTCTGGTAAGCTGTACTGTGTTTTTTATATAATTATAATTGTTTTTATATAATTTAACTATGTGTTTATCTTGGGTGTGAAAATGCATAAAGGCTTTCCCACATTGGTGACATACATAGGGTTTCTCTCCAGTGTGAATACTTTCATGTTGCTTACAACGTCCACATTGGGTAAAAAGTTTCCCACACTGCTTACATATATATGGTTTTTCTCCAGTGTGAATTCTTTCATGTTCCTTACATTGCCCACTTGTGGTAAAACCTTTCCCACATTGCTCACATACAGAGTGTTTCTTTCCAGTGTGAATTCTTTCATGGTTCTTACACTGTCCACATGTGGTAAAACCTTTCCCACATTGCTGACATAAAAGAAATTTTTCTCCAGTGTGAATTCTTTCATGTTTCTTACTATTTTCATGTTGGGTAAAAGCTTTCCCACATTACTTACATACATAGGGTTTTTCTTCACTGTGAATTCTTTCATGTTTCTTACACTGTCCATGTGTGGTAAAAGCTTTCCCACATTGCTTACATACAAAGGTTTCTCTCCAGTGTGAATTTTTTTCATGATTCTTACAATCTCCACCTGTATAAAAAGTTTTCCCACATAAATTACATACATATGGTTTCTCTCCAGTGTGAATTCTTTTATGTTTCTTATAATCTCCACATGTTGCAAAAGTTTCCCACATTGCTCACATACATATATTTCCCTCTATTTTGATATTTTTCATGGATCTGAATATCATAGTTTGTGTCTGTTTCTTTCACAACCATATTTTCTGGAGTACAAAGGAATACTTCTTTATACTGATTGCAAGATGTAAGTCCATAGTATTTTCCTACCTTGTCATTTCTGTAAAGAAATAAATTACATATAGGACTGATAACTATATTACTAAGTTTTTGTTGGGTATTTAAATAGAACTCTTTGCAGTCTAGCTGTTTGAGACCCCACTTTATATGCTTCAATTTTGTGTCTTAAGCAACTACTTACAAGTGGATATCATGTAATCATCAACATGTTACTTCTTATTTATTTTTTTTCTTTGAGAGTAGTATAATTTCTACCCATTTTCTGTATTTAGTCTTTCTTTAAATAAAATTTTAAATAGGAAAAAAATCACACTGAAATGGGTCTCTGTACTAATGACTGCCTTAATGACAAGTTCAGTTTTGATGCCTGCTAAGAAATTCTGACAATGAAGTAACTGAATGCCTTGCAAGATATTTGGAAAACAACCATTTCCAAAAGAGTGGTATACATTTGGGAATCTTAAAAGTTTGTATATTTTGAAATGCAAAACATTTAGCTTCACTTTGGGCATGGGTCTATATGTGTATCACATATTGATCATTCTGATTTTTCCCCAATAGCCATCTCCTTTCTGTCCTTAGCCTGTAGTTCCCTTATCCAAATGATCAGGCTTACCTTTCTGTATCAACTCTCTTTCATTTCACCCCACAATTTATATTTTGGTGTCTCATCTAACAGAAACACTGTGACCTTTTACATTTTGTAGCTGAGCTATTTCACTGAACTTGATGGGAGGAGCAACCAATTATTTTTATGGCAAATGACATTATATTATTTATTTTTCACTGATTACATAGCACATATTTTATTGTTTTCCGTACTCAAAATCAGCCACAGGTGTCAGCACTAAATCTCTAGCTTCTTTATTTTAAGAGATTTTCACTGATGATTAAGCTTTTAAGTTTGAACTTGAATTTGCCATTCTGCAAAATCTTATTCCCAGGGTGCTGGGTTTACAAGAATGCACACTCACACAGAAACTATTAATATTTTCCTTCTCCACAAATCCAGTGATAGCTAAGCTGCTTCAAGGCCTCATCTGTTATAACTTGATCTGCTTTGCATATGAATAAGCTTGTATCTGTATCTTATGTTTGTTTTGACTCTTGTAAATACAATTCAGGAGAAGTATGATGGGATCAACTTCTAGAGACTACTGCATAATGATTTTCAGTGTAACTTCACTTAACATAACACCAGTCTACTAAGAATTTTAATTAGAAGGGACTGATTCTCTTGAGAATGGCTTTGAAACATGAGCATTCATTTATATTTCAAATTGTGCTGCAGTTTTAGCAATTTTTTGATAATGATTGTTTTGTATTCAAATGTATACATGGGTAGGTAAACTAAAGGTCGGATCCTATCAAAACTCAAAGTGTATGTTTTTTATACTCATTTATATGCAATTTTATACATTTTCAAAGGTTTCCTCCATCACATCTCTGTAGACTTTCTTTTGGGATGGACTCAGCAAAGTCCACTCCTCACTGCTGAAGTTCATAGCCACATGAGAAATACACATGTATTTCTCAAAACAAGTTTGAGACTCAAGCCTGGGACATCTTAAATTCTCTCATAAAAATGTGAATCAAAAACTAAGTATGGTCATGCATATCTTTAATCCCAGCAATAAATAGGCTGAAACAGGAAGGCTGCTGTGAGTTCAAGGCAATTCTAGCCTACATAGGGGGTCCAAATACAGCTGATATACATAGTGAAAGCCTGTCTCAATAAAACTAAACTTAACAAATCTTAATTCCATGTCTCTGTCATTAATTTTGTGCATATACACATTGTTTGAGACAGTAATTTTGATGCTAGATTGCAACTCATTTTTAATGTAACAGTTAAAAAGGAGCATTGATTTTGGGCTGAGTCACTGCAAGAGTCCCTGTGCACTGTCTCTAAAGCAGAGCTCACAATGGGAGGCTGCAGGACCAGCATTCACAAAGCACAAAGGCAGACAAATATCTCATCAATAACTTTGATAGATTACAGATGATATCTCTTCAAATCTTATTTAGGCCACTGAGTTATTTGTTCTTAATATACTTAAGAAGCATTTTGAAATTTGAAATACATTTCATAGAACAAAACATAAATAAAATGAAATGTGGTACCTAAATTATAACTCAAATGTTAATGGAAAATTGTTTATGTAAACAATGTATAAACAATGGAACCAGGCACAAGTTGTAAATTATAGCTTAGTGTCACCAAGTGATTACCTTTCACTCAGATATAAGAAATATATCTGGGGAGGCTGATTCAGGAGTAATGCCTTGAGATTGAGGCCAACCTCAGTTACAGAGCTGTATGAAATAGAGAGGTCCTGACTGTAAAATCCCACAAAGTGAAACTTGAAAACTGACTGCATAAGACACTTTTGGTTTGATTTCAAAAACTATAGCTGTACATTATAGTAAAATTCCAACAACATTCAACACTTTCTGAGGAATAATTTTGACATGTTCCATAGTATACAGAAAACATATTCATTGCTGGCTATTTAGCTTAGTAACATGAAATCCTGCCTGACAAGTATGAGGTCATGAGTTCAATCTGTGTTTCAAAAAAAAAAAATCAAATTTCACCTTCATGACACTGAGGCATAAGTAGAGATAATCAAAATTACATCTCAAGTATGGAACACAGAATTCATGGGTTTCAAGGATGTAGAATACTGATTGTTGCCAGAGCTGGTGTTATTCACCTCAAGGAAGCAATCAGAACCCAACTTCAACTTCATGCTTATCCTAAGAACTACCTGATTTTCAGTGAAGACCCTCCCTGTTGTATGTCCTGCTATTGGCACCCTGCATCATACCAATCACTTCCACATCCTTTCGATGCTCCTCTGATCCACCCTAAGCAGAAAACGCTTCATGCCTAACTATTGATATCCCTGCAAAATTTCAATTTAGAGCATCTCCTTTATGTCACTTAGTAAAGTCCATTGCAGAGCATTTCCATATTTAAACAATGTCTATGATCAACCAAGCTATTAAATCAGCTGTTAATTCAGAGATGACACCCATATTCCTTTCCATTCAGAAGGATATCACATCCATGCAAATGTCTTAAACTTAGGCATTTTCAATAAGGATTTAACAGGCATCCCATTTTGGAATTTGTCCTTAGCAAGAACATTTTACCCTGCCCTTGATAACACTTTCATATCTACATCATTTTTCACAGAATTCAAAACTGTATGGCTGTTCTCACAAACCTTGTCTTTGAGCAGGGGTGTCACCTAAATATTTAAGTATGTTCAGAAATTCTTTGCATTGTTCTGTATAATACACAGGAGTTCACCAGGTGCTTGGGAAGCCTTCCTCCACTGAGGCACACCACTACAAATCTCTGAATTCTCAGGACCCTTTCCAAAACCTGTCATAAGAATGGAAATATGAGAACATACTATAAATTTATGTGATCACTATAGATACAAAAAAGCAAAGTTTAAGGAATGCTTTTGTGGCTATGAGGCCCTGCATTACAGACATTTATAAACTTCAGACCCTTAAGATTTGCTGCTACCTAAAATGAGAACAGAGACCAAGTTCAATACCATTACACCAATTACAAAACGCATCAGAGTCAGTGTCTCTCTAATCTCCTTACCCTGTCCACTATCGTGGAGGTGCCAGGGCAGTAGAGAATTTCAAAGATGATACTAGAGTCTGTTGCTGTCATAGGTCAGGGTTCTGGGGATGCAGAATCACCCTTACCCCCAGTAAGAGTCAAAAGGGACAGTGGATGACCCATGGCCAATGCTGGAGGACCTCAGGAGGTGAAGTTAACTAAATATCTGAGGCTCCAGACACCAGAACTGCTTCTAACCCCTTGTAACTGATTTTGCCCAATTCCACCCTATTTCTGTGTTCCCATCCACAACCTCTGCATCCTGTGGCTAGAGGGTCTCCCAGGTTCTTTGCTAATCAGGCCACAGGATATTGAAAGCACTAAATGAGATCCAGCAAGCATTCTGCTCCCAGTTTTGTGCTCAGAACAAGTAGATAATGCCTAGACACTGGAAGAAACCTAAGAGACCACCTACCATGTCCTGCCTGGTTGGACTTTTCATATAGCCCGCCTCTTCATCACTGATTGACTCCTGATCTACTGCCCTCCTTCTGAGTCAAAATAAACAGTGAAAGGAGCCCCTCCTTGCAAGAGAGGACCTCAAATGATAGACTGTAGTGCAGAGATTTCTGGAGTTGGCTGTCTACTACAGTGTTGATCGCAGCTCGATAGTGCAATATTTCTGTCAAAGAGCTTTACCTCAGGCTTTTTATTTCCAAACCCATTTGGTTTCAAGGATAAAAAGAAAACATAAACTAAAACGAATTTCAAAACATGTCAAACAGGGGAAAACAATGGTATATACATTGTACACTGTCATCCCCAAATCGTTCACCCAGAGCACAAGACATCTGTATTCAATTTTCTGAACAATAGTGTTATGGGAAACTGCGTTAGTCAAATACCACTGGCAGTGAGACAGGGTTAGGTCCTCCAATGAGCCCATGCAGAAGCGCAGAGAACTTGCAACTATGGAGAAGATGGACACCTCCTGCTATGGGCCAAGCCTCAAGACAGAAAATCACGCAAATTCATCCATACCCTAAGGACTGATATTCTAAATAGTTCCCTATGACTCTGAGGGAGTGAGGAGTCACCATTCAAATAAATGTATCTCTATCTCAAAGACTGATATTCTAAATAGTTCCTATGATCCTGGGGATGTTGGGAGTCATCATCCCAACCTCCTAAGGGAAGAGTCACTGCTGTCTAAGAATGCCTGCTTTCTATGTGACTCCTTTCCCCATTTGTTCCCATTTAATCAGCTTTATCAGAACTATTAATCTTATTGGCTGCCATAGATCTGTCCCATCTTATGTCCATCTGCATTGTGAGTTCCCAGTTTTCCACATCTTCAACCCATCTCACCACATGAATTTACTCTATAAAAGTTCCTACAAAGACAGTTTTTACCAAACCACTCAGAAACACTTGTCTTTCTCAGACAGCTTTCTTTCTCCCAATAAGTATATTCTACTCTTAACATCTGTTGTTCCTAAAATTCAGTTATTGATTTCAAAGAATACAAACTCATACCAGACATAGTAGCTCAGATGTCTCATTCTCCTATAGTAACACCGTATAAATTTTTCTCTTTCTTGAAGTCAGAGAAACAGTAATAGTTGTCTTCTTAAATGTTCATCTGACCTTTTAAGGGACACTTGCATTGAAGGAGTTTATACCTTCCTTTCCGTGCTTCTTCTGTTTTCTGAAAGAGAACTAATCTGTAGTTTTGTTTATGGTATATACAATGCATTAAGGAAAAGACTAAAAACTTTTCTTGTGTGTTGTTTACCAACATCCATGGAAGAAGACACATAGCCAAAATACTTTATTTTCATTTCTTCAAAGTGAAGGATGTACTCGAAAGTGTTTTGCCCTAGAATAAATCACAGGACATCATGGTGGTAGGTCATCAGGGTGAATGGCCAAATTAGGGATGCTTACCCATATGGCTACTTCCACTTTTTCCCTAATTACAGCTTCCTCATTCCTTTCCCAGGTGCCCCAAAAAATTCATTTGGAGTGATCTTCTCAAGTGCATGCTGACCACAGTTAGAAAATCCGAGAATCTACTAACAGTGTTAATGGGATTTTGAGTCCTACTTACTGTGAAAGAAACTGCGGGCTAGGAAGGTGGCAGGCAGCTTAACTAGAGTGACTCTTTCTATGAAGTGTCTGAAGACCAAAGCCGAACATTTTATTCCATGAATACACAACATTGCTACCAATTGCCAACTCAGGATAATATACACCTGTAATCCCAGCACTCTGGGAGGGGGAGGAAAGATGAGGAAAGTTTTAAGCCTAGCCTGGGACACTTAGAAAATTAGTGAGACCATGTCTTAAAATTTGTACAAAACAAAAGCTTTTACAAATGTATGAAAATATTGATCATTAAGAAATCTCAGAAGTCACTGAACAAAGTACATTAACCACTATTAATCTACACTTATTTTATCTTTTATAGACTTAAAAAGTGTATCTTTATATGATTCTTATTATTATTTCAAAATAAAAATAGTAATCACTTGCTCAAATTCTGGTTCTAAATATAAATTTAAGACAGAAAAAAAAAAAAACAGAATGATCAAAATCTCTTCATACTGAACTACCCAAATCTTAAGAGGATATATTCAGCAGCATATCTGCAGTCATCTAAGTAAAAAGCATTAAAAAATTGAAAGAGTATAAACAGCAGGAAGCACATCAATGTATCCATGATGGTAAACCTTATGCTAGGTGTGCTGACCAAAGTACACGTGCAAAAGAACCTCACAAAGATTTGATTTCTCACTAGAAAGGCGATTTTTGACTTTTCATTTTTATATTTTTTCACTCTCTCTTTCTTCTTTCCTTTTTTCTTCAGACAGGGTTTTGCTATGCAGTTCAGTCTGGCTTTGATCTTCCCTTGTAGTCCTGGATGACCTCAAACTCACAATCTTCCTGCCTCAGCCTTTGGAGTCCTGGAATGACAGGTGTGCAGCAACACCTCTGATTGTGCTTTCCTTTTTAAATTTTCTCCAAAACAAAATTGCTCAGACTTATGTGATATTCTCAAAGTTCATCAGGTTGGTTACACAAAATCAAATCAGAAAGCACTGAAAACACTGAGGGAGTTTTGAAATCCTTACCAACATCTAACATAACACAACAGAGCATAGCATAGTACAGCATAATAACACAAAATAAAATAATAAAAGGAAGCACATAACTCTACTTTAAACATCTGCTTCCAAAGATACAGTAAGAATTTCTAAGTTATCCATACACCAGCAATATGTTGCATTTTCTTTGAAATAAATGTTGGTATCCACTCAAATACTTGTGTAAGAATGGGTGTGGCAGCTTGCTTTCTTTGTCCAACCCGGAAACATAACAAATGGCCATCACAGGATGGGTGACAGGTACATGAAAAGTCAAATTTGCTTGGTTCAGCCCCATAATAGTGGGAGGTGGCAGCACAGGGTGGCAGCATGGATACACTGCTTCAAGGAGACCAACCAAAGAGTATTGCAACTGAAAAGGCTCAGTGCCATCACCTCTAGGAAAGGCAAACTACCCATCAGCGACACAAAGCCTATGGTCTGATTGGGATGGGAGGAAAGGAAGTGATAGCAGCAGCTAGGAGACAAGTTCCCCAGGAGCTATGCACATGTGTCCTTCATCAGTACGGGATGATGATGTCACCTCCTCTTGTATGCACCACCTGCTGCCCCCCCTCACAGGAGGTCAGAGTGTGGAGTAATACAGTGTATGGCTGAGTTAAACATCTAAGGATGGATAAATAATCATTCATAAGCATGTGAGAGTAGAACTGGCTATGAATCCTCCTCCCCTGGACACATGGGGGTTATGAGATCTTCACATTCTTTGGTAAAATTATTATGGGTTTTCTGCTCCCTAATGGAACTGAAAGGAAACTAACACAAGCCCAAGAAAGGAAGTCATCCTAACATTTGACAAATGTTTAACAGAAGACAATGTGTCTTTCATCCTCCAAGACAATGGACCCTTTGGATGGACATTTGTGTTTGGCACCCAGCCTGACACATCTGAAGCATCTACATGTTTGCTGCATTAAAATCTTCAAAGTGCAGCAAAGTCTAAAAGTATACACAGTTTTCTAGCATTTTAACTTGTTTCTAAGGAGAACATAGATTTGTTCCACAACAAAAAGAAAGGTGATATCACAGAGGATGGCCAAACTGTGGACCCCAATTCATGACCTCACTTCCTTGGCGATAGGTCCAAACAGACCTCTGAAGGCTCAGGTCACCAGGCATCTTGGTCTGGTGACAGTTGGTCTTTACAGACAGTTGGCTCAAGACAGTGAACAGGGAGCAGGTTATGCTGCTTTCCCAGGACACGGGACCCCAGCCTCAGGATTCCGCATAGGTAGACCACGTGGGAATGGCTGAAAAAATGGTTTCCTCATCCCAGAGCCTTCAGGATGGTTGTTGGCAAATGCCAAATGACAAGGGAATTAAAGGACAGGGCTCACTGTCCCCATCCTTCTGGCACTCAGAGGCAGGAAGAAGGCCAGGACAGGTGTCACTAGACTCAGCCACAAGCCTCACGGAGACTCACGGAGTCCAGCAGAGTAACTTTAAGGCCTGGCCACTACTGTGAATCCCCCTACACAATTCCTGCCCTACGTCAAGTGTGACTGGATCTGACATGCCCTGAGGGCAGATCTGTCGATGTCGCTCCCGGCCGGCAGGAAGGACACACGACAAAGTCTGGCAGTGGACAACCTTTTCTTTTATTTTCCTTCTCCGTACAGCCTGCCCTGGGATCGCTCCCAGCCGAAGCCTCCTTTGGTCCGCTCCCCGCGGCTCCTTCTGGGCTTCTACTTCCGGGCTTCTTCTTCCCCCCCAGGGGTGGCACCAGTATATATACGGATACAGTGTCCAATCATGTTAAAGTAAGCAAGGCAAGCTGATTGGCTAACATCATCAGTTGCCAGGCAGACTATATTGTTGAGCGGGTTGCTTACGCGGTAAGCAGGAAACTAACGTGCTCGATGGGAGGGGTAATCTACCTCAGGCTTTACTCTTTACTACAGGCCTCACGTCCGCCAAGTGAGGCGACCGGGCTCGGGGCTGCGGCTCCCAACATCTCCCCCTTTTTTATTTTTTATGAATGTGCGCATCGTAGCCCTTCCTGGACTGGGTGCAGAGGCTTATGCCCTATGTGTAGGCCCACCGTAGGTCCTTGGCTTAGACCCTGGTCGGCCGTCCCATGGTCCGCCAAGGCCCTGAGGTCCTCGTCCTTTTTCTAGGGCCAGGCACAAACTGGACGGAACCTGGATGCACACAAGCTTGCACTCATTTCCTCTCCATAAAGAAATCCCCTCGGAGAGAAATTTAGACCTGGGCAGCATCTAACAGTCCAGCGGCTTACGTGCAGGATGGGGTAGGGCCTGGCTTAGGTTGAGTCGCACCGGGGGAGTACGCTCTTACCCGTCATTGACTCTCCTACCCAGCTATGTCATAATTTTTTTTTTAGAGGAGGAGTGTGGGAAGCTCACCACCCCTAGACTCGGTCGTAGGCTAGGCAAGCGAGCCATGCATATGCCTGAGGATCTTCTTGTCCATTTTGGGCTACCGCTATTTCTATTCATCTTGTTGGTTGGTCTGTGATGGATCTCCGGTAGGGCAGGTCTGATCTTCAGTCGAGGGCTTTGTCGCCCGTGTCAGTCTCTCCGGTACCCACAGTGGTTCTCGTCCCGATTCCTGTGGGAAAACACAAACCGCGCCTCGGTTCCAGCTGACCACTGGATCCGGGCCCATCCATTGTCCTGTCAGGACATCTTTCCACTTCACCCACCCTTTATGGTTGGGGGAAGGGTTGCAGTGCTCCACGGCTGGGGAGCAATTATCATTATTTAAATTTAAAAAATTGTGTGTGAATAGTGCCATGGATAATCGTGCCTTTGGGGCCAGGCCTTGGCCTACTCCCCCTTTTTGTTTTTGTAAAATTTTTTTGAGGCTTTTATGAGCCCTCTCAATGATTTTTTGACCTTGGGGATTGTATGGGATACCATGTTTTAATTGAACCTCTATCATTTTGCAGAACTCATTGAAGGCTTTGTCTATATAGGCTGGTCCATTATCAGTTTTTAATATTTTTGGTTTGCCCCATGTGGCCCAAGCCGCCAGGCAATGATTGATCACATTAGACACTTTTTTACCTGTTTCTGCTGTTGCGAATATGACGTGAGAACAGGTGTCTGTGGAAACATGAACATATTTAAGAGTCCCAAACTCCTGTATATGTGTGATGTCCATCTGCCAAACATCACCAGGGATCAAACCTCGAGGGTTTACTCCCATCGGTATGGCAGGTTTGTATGTGGCACAGGAGTCACATAGTCGCACGATATCTCGTGCATCTGCTCTGGAAACATGGAAATGGTTTGCTAGTGTCCTGGCATTGACATGAAACTTATCATGGAAGGCACGGGCTCACTCGATTGGTGTTAGTAAGGTAAAAATCCATAACGGGCGAGTGGCAGTATCAGCAGCCGCATTTCCCTGTGTCATGGGCCATGGCAGGGATGTATGTGCTCTTATGTGGGTGGTGAAGACCTTATGGTGTCTGTTCTGAAGCAATGTCTGGATAGACAGGAACAGCCCAGCCACTGTGGAAGTGGATCTAATTAAACCGGCAGTCTCAAGCACTTGCATAGCATTGACCACATACCTAGAATCGGAGACAATATTAATGGCTTCTGAGAACCGTTTAAGAATCATTTTAACGATCTGCAGTTCCACCACCTGAGGCTGATCAGGTTCAAATTGTATGGTAACCGGGGGCTTGCCTAGGATCACATAGGCGCCTATCCCCGTCTTGGAGTCATCTGTGTATATTGTAGTTGTTGCGACTAATGGCTCAGAGGCAGTAACCTTT